GCAGCTATATGATATAGTCGTCCGATCCGGCCCGTTCCGACATATATAGCAGTGAGAGCATATAGAAGACTATATGCAAAGTTTCATTCAGATAGCTTTAAAACTGAGGGACTAGTTTGCGTAGAAACAGACAGACAGACAGGCGGACAGACAGACAGACGGACAGACAGACAGACGGACGGACAGACAGACGGACATGGCTAGATCGACTCGGCTGTTGATGCTGATCAAGAATATATATACTTTATAGGGTCGGAAACGTCTCCTTCACTGCATTGCAAACTTCTGACTGAAATTATAATACCCTGCAAGGGTATAAACATATGAATTATTAATACCAAAAAACACATTACTACAAACACCGTCATTGCCAGGGATCGATCCACTCATTAATATTGCCGACCAACGCTTTAACCAGCACGACCACAGGACCGATTAAATGTGTGATGCACAAACACTAATATGAATTTGAAAGCCTTTTGATTCTCGTCCTAGCAAAGCCAAATATGAAATTTCGTCTCAAAATGTGTTGCCGCGTTCACGCACACATACACACAAAACTCACTTACACTTATGCATTGTGTGCGTAATAAACGAAATCTAAAAATAGAACAAGCAAATCATTCCCAGTTTCCCCTCGCCAACAAGCGTAAAGCAGGCAAAGCATGTCAGATGCGCTATCTATATAGTTCTATACTCTTGGCTTATAATCTATTATTTTAATATTAATTGTAATATTCTCTAACAGAAGGGGGGGGGCTGCTCCCGAATAATGACCCTCTGCGTCGTCTCGTCCGTGTTCCGGTCAGCCTTCTGGCCAGTGGGTTGAGATGGCTCCGCAATCTTGCTCGGTGTCTGGCTGCAATGGAGTTGATTGCATCTCCAACTGCAGGGACTTTCAACTCTTTCTGTATGTCTTTGTTCCTGATGTATCACTCGGCGTTGGTGATCCTTCTCAGGAACTTGGCCTGGAAAGCCTGGATCCTTCGAAGATGCGTCCTGGCTGCTGTGCCATAGATGATGACTCCATATCCCTAGATAATTCGACTAATAGACTTCTTACCACAACACATCATGATTTTATTGCTAGCTTGTTTGACATTTCGCTGTCTGAAATCAACCAAGTACGAAACTCCTTATAGCGATTTCTTGATCTTTGCTTTGTCTCTGATCCGGCAAGAGTTAGCAAGATTAGCTAGGGTGGCACCCCTGACGCAACCCGAATGTCCCTATCATCCTACTTTCGATGTGACTATCTACATTTTTACGGCTGTTTTATGGAATACATCTGACTGTCCAGCCCAAACAGTCCTCTGCTTTTGCAAGACGGACCTCGTACGGTCCGATCTGTACATACGCACTGACATGGCTGCAGCCGTGGTTATTTTTTTACAGTGCTATGAACTCATTTTTTACTGAACGTGTTCCGTTTTACTATCCATCAACATCGAATAAGCCTCAACTTTTACCTGGCTGTATGGTTAGGTATTGTAAGTTAATTATTTCTCCATGTCAACATGGTTTTATTCAGTGAAGGTCAATAACAATCTCTTTAGAACTTACTTCCTTTATTATAAAGGGCTTCCGAAATAACTTTCAGACAAAAGGTTCTCTTTATAAATAAATTTTCTAATGTTCTTAAGGTTACATCTGACGTCCCGCAAGAGTCATTTGGGTCACCTATTGTTTCCATTATTTATCAATGATCTGCCCGAAGTTTTGACTGACTCCAGAGTACTTATGTACGCTGACGATGTCAAACTTTGTGTGCAATATAAGAACGCTTCTTGCCAGTCAGACCTTCAGGCAGATCTTAACAATTTTCAAACGTGGTGCCACGTGAACTTATTAAACTTAAATGGTTCTAAATGCAAGCTAATGACATTCCCCGGTATCGTTCCTACGCTAAACTGCTGCTCTTTGGAAAAAATTAATATAGTTGATGATTTAGGTGTCCGTCTGGATCCTAAACTTGATTTTATCGATCATAGTTCGTGCATGGTGAATAAAGCCAGGGGTGTTCTTGGTTATGTTCTATGGTCTATGTTACAAAATCTTTATATACTTCACTTGTTCGTCCTATCTTAGAATATGGATCCTGCGTTTGGAGCCCTCAGTATGGCGTCCACAGTAAACGCATAGAATCGGTTCAAAAGAACTTCTTACTTTTCGCGGTGTAAACTGGGATGCAAACCAGTGGTTACCGTCTTATTCTAGTAGACTTTTACTAATTAACTTACCATCTTTAACTAATCGTAGAACCATGCTAGGTATTACATTCTTATACAACTTAATCCGGGGTGACGTGGAAAGTACTGACTTGCTCGGTCAGCTAAATTTTCATGCATGAACCCTTTAGAGTCCTCTGTGCAAATTATAACGATTGGTACACAATAATATCTAATGTTGATAGCCTCCCAAAACTAAAAATTTTAATCTTAACCTACTTAGTACGCATGCAAGCAACCAATCAGGCAGCACGCCAGTAGTAGTTTAAATAAAAAATAAACAAGCAACAAAGATTTCTGAACGGAACGGAATTGGTGGCTTTGATGGATCTGCCACGACGCACAGTAGCGCCTTTTCTCATTTAGCGTTGCAAAAATCATTCAAAGGGGATCAAAGTGCAAAAAATATTTTTTTTTCAATGAAAACAATTTTTAAAAAATATTTTTCATTTAATTTTTTATGTTTATTTTTATGTATTTGCTCAAATAAAAAAATTTTGAAAACTGAAAAAAAAAAAATTTTTTTTAATTCAAAGTGTAACCGCCACGCGCTACAGTTAGTATATTTCTTGGAATGTATGAAATTGTGTCGGTATTTTTGTATATTTCACCATGAGTAGCTTTGGTTTATGTCGTTGCATTTTCGCAGACGCAGACGCAGCCGATGAAAGTTAATCCTGGTCCAGGAAAGATCCACGTAACTTGTAGACATAGTGTAGTCGGTGGCTTTCATCGGCTTCAGAAGTTATAGACTACTTTGGGCAGAAAAAGGTGAAGAAAATGGACACCTGGCAGGTAGCGATTTACCTGTACAAGCCCAAACCAAAGTGCCGTTTTTTTGGGTTAATTAATAGTTTATGAATGTATCTATAATTTAAAGTAAAAACCATGACCATTGGTTTTATGGTTTTTGTGTAATATTACCTGAAAGTCGACCATTTTACCTACTTTTTTTGGTATGATGCAAAAAACAAAAGAAAGTTCAACTTTGAATGCTCATATCTTCTACAAAAAAAATCTTAAAATAGATTTTATTGCAGATTCTGAATCCTTGGGAATTTGTCTGTCGAATAAGTATGGTTAAAATCGTTTTTGCGAACATGACTTTTTCGATTTTTGCAACGCTAATTGTTCGGGCCTAAAGTGACTCCCTATTTACTACCTATTTGTTCCTACTGGAGCTCCATGGAAATAAAACGGGAGTTGGTTTTTTCGCCACTTACCACGACAGTTTCCCCTCAGCACGGAAAAACCTAACTGAGCGTTTCGAAAATAAATGCGCGTTGGTAAACAGCCAACTAAAAAATTGTTGAGCATGCGGTCCATTGTACGCGAATCCTCGGCAGCCTTGAAGGAGCTGCAAGATGCAATTCAAAATTGCCTCACGTCCCTAGCTCTGTCCGTCCTTCCTACGGAAAATTGGGATTGCCTCCTGGTTTATTTGAGCTCCACGAAGCTTCCAAAGCCGACTCTCTCATTATAGAAGCAAGCCTTACCAAATAAAACCGAAATTCCGACGTGGTTAGAACTTGATTCTTTCCTTACTGAGCGCCATTGAACTCTGGAAACTATATATTCTATTCAACCTCCTACGCTAGGCCTCAGTCTGTCCAAGCCGACAACATCCATCATGCCAGCGGATGTACTGAAATTGCTATGCGAGCGGTCATCCACTCTGTAATTACACAAGCGCTCACAGCTGTCTTACTTGTCGACATCACACTTTGTTGCATCCCAGCAACTCTTCCTCCAGTGTTCCGATTCCTCGTGATGCCTCACCACAAATATCGTCGCCTATCCAAAGGATTTTCCGTTCTCCCCACGAGTAACCACCTCTCACAATTCCTTCAACTATACGATGATATCAAAAGCATAAGTCTGCCAAGAGAACCAACCACTTAGGAAGTGCCACCGTTTTCTTCGCGTTAGCCCCGAAGCGGCTCCAGGCAGTCATCGATAGGAAATACTGCGTCAACTGCCTAGCCCACCACCATTCCGGAGGATCTTGCCGAAAAAACGACCGATGCCAGTCGTGTGGACAGGATCACCACACCTAGACATTTACGCGCAACTAACTGCTGAAAAGGGTTGTGCTGCCTCTCGCTACAAGGACTCGGTCACAGGTAAAGTACTCAAAACATAACAAAAACTCGTGAATCATAAAAATCTCAGAGTAGATTAAAATGTTTTGCACAACGGCGAAGTTATAATTTTCTACTAATTTCTTTTAATTTTCAGATCGTTCCTATGGGTATATGATACAGTTCGATATCGGCCGTTCCGACTTTTCTTTAAATGAAAATAGAAAGAAGACGATTTGCAAAAGTTTAATTCATATAGTTCCAAAACGGTCTATAATTGAACCCACTTTCTTTAAAAACCTCTAACTTAAATTGTTATTCAGCCGTACAAAAACGCCTACCCCTAAAATGAATTTAAATTACTTAATTTAGATAAGATGTTAAGTCAAAGTTATTAGTATTTTAAATTATTCTTTCCCGATTTTCTATCTATTTTCCAACTAAGCGAACGGGAAACCCAAAAATACGTTAATAACAATTTTAGGACTTCAAGACAAAGTCATGCAAAAACAACGAACTCTGTTAAATGTTAAACCAGAATGTCTTGGAGTATCCTTACATATTCGGTTTGCTGTACTTAATACGGGTTTGTAATAGTATCCGCAAAACGCACAAAAAATTATCGCTTTCGCTTTCCGCTCTATTTATAGTTAAGTTTGAATTGGCATTAAAAACTATGAGTCTTACTTACCAAAATCGAAATTGATGACCTTCTTTTAATGGCGATTTTGTTATTTCCAAAGCATCCATTAAAATATTTAAAACATTTCGGAAGTCCATCCTGAGGTGTGTGTTACAACTTTAAATTAAGAGAAAAAATTATTATCTTTAGATGATTTGGTGATCATAAAAATATTTTTAAAACAAAGTTTATTTTATAATAATACTGTTTATTTTAAAATATTTCCGTATTGATCTGTCTCACAGATAAAATTCAAAACATTTTTTAATGTCGTATAATACGGCGTTAAAAATTATATATACCATATTGTTAGATATTTGTCTATTATAAGTTAATGGTTATTGGTCACACTTATTCATTTAACATACATACAACATTTATGATTAACATACAAACTAATAACTGTAAACAGATAAGATCTGAAGCTCAAGCCAAGCAGACGCACATCTCATCATTTAGTGTAATACACAACACATATATTTTGTAATATTCTAAACAAATACAAGTCTCAGTCGGCTTCAACTCCGACTGAGACCTCAAGTCCTGCAGAATATTACAAAATTCTAAACAAATACAGGCGATGGTAAAAAAAATCAAAATTATACCACATATCTATAAATAATAATAATTATAAAATGTTAAAAATATAATGTTATGTTATGTTTCTAACACCGCTCGAAACAACTTCATAAGTACGGAGGGAAAAATGTGTCCTGCGACAGGGATTGAAATTAAATTCACATTTTAAATTATAAAAAGTATACTTTAACTTAAAAACATTTTAAAGTAAAGTTAGTTAAAGCCAACATAAAAAGTACACTGGGAAAAATTAAGCGCGCGACATAGATTTATAAATCATAATTAAAAACAAGAAAATAAGCTAACTTCGGCACGCCGAAGTTTGTATACCCTTGCAGATTGGAATTGGATCATTAAGAATCGAGCAATTCTGGTTAAATAATTAAAAAAAAAATAAAAGAAAATATATAAAAGTAGTATATTTATACAGAGCAAAAATAAAATGCTGAAAACACACACAAAACAGCATTTTATAACATTATACCTATACTTATTATGTTTACAGTTTAACAGTTACAGTTACACATTTCTAGCTTTATATTTTCTCTACATTTACCGATCGCTTTTATGACAGCTATATGATATGATCGCTTTATTGTAAAGTGCCATTTTGAAAGTCGGTGTACACGATAGCTCAAAATCTACTGGACCAATCGGTTTGAAATTTGGAACATAACTTCCTTAACTAATTCTACAGATACGTCGAGCTTTTTTTAATTTTAAATTTAATTACATTTTTTATTTAAGGGGGGGGTAAGGTATTTAATTTTTTTTTTCGTAAATTTTTTTTTATTTTTTATTTTAAAAGTTCAATATCTTAAGAATATTGTGTCCAAGTTTTACATCAATCAAAGTAAAATTGACGAAGTTATGCGGAGTTGAACGAAGGTCGTCTGGTGTTCAATGCATGAGAATCACAAAGTTTAAAGCGCTCTCCTGAAAAATGCCATTTTGAAAATCGGTGTACACGATAACTAAAAATATACTGAACCAATCGGTTTGAAATTTGGAACATAACTTCTTTAGATAATTCTACAGGTATTCTCGTCGAGCTTTTTTTAATTTTTAATTTTCTTATATTTTTTATTTAACAAATTAACTTAATTTTTTAGTCAAAAATCGAGGTTTTGACTTCAAATTTTGATAAAAAATAGGGAAAAAATTTTAAAAATAAAAACGCTTCGAGAATACCTCGGGACACTTATCCTTTAACGAATGAGGTATAATTTTTGTAGATCGGATGATTCTGTGGACAGTTAGGATGTACACCGCAAACCAACTTTTTTGGAGGCGACTCGGGAGATTCCCTATAACTCCTCTACCTCTAAATATTTTTCAATACAAAATTTATCACAAACTGTTCAAATGTTGTGTTATTATATGGTATTTAATTCGTTAAGCTAGCTTTAGCCGTTTCGCCACAACATTTTTTTGAAAAGTGGGCATTTTTGCACCGAATTAACCTTACCCCCCCCTTAATAAATAACCTTAACCCGTAACCTGTGACTATAAGGTTTGCAGCTGACGGGTTAATCCAGCTGTGTTTTTAAGAAGCCTTCACAGGAAACCCTGTGTTGCCTTGCCGTGGTTTAGCGGCGAAGTCACGGTTGACCTTTTTTAATGCCCAAACCCCTTTGGGCCCGCCGCGCTAGTTACAGTCCAGTGACCGCGGGAATAGAGGAGGTCTCATATGCGAGTAAGATCCTAGAAGATGCTAGAAGGAAGATTACTAACAAAACGACTGTGTTGTGTGGAGAACAGAATAAGACTGAATATTTATTACAAAAGTATGTATGAGTGTATATGTATGAGTGTATATGTATAGCACTCATTACACAAAATTTATGAAGAGGGGCACACATCAGGGTGGAGACCAGTCTCCACTCCTCTGGCTGAAAAACATGGTCGACACATTTCAATATAGCACTCAATAGCGAAGGATAGCGACGTAGTCTCACTTCTGAACCATTCCCCGACGTCATCAGCGAATTAAAGACGAGGGCACTTACTAAACTTAATTCATGGGCCAAAGCCTGTGGATTACGCATCAATTCCGGTAAAACGTAACTTATGCTTTTCACAGAAGAAAAAAGACCCCAGAAACAAAAAGCGACAGATAGATGGTATAGAGCTTGAACTATCAAAGTAGTAAGCTAAGTACCTAGGAGTGATACTGGATGAGAAGCTGTCATGGAAAAAAAACATCACTGAAAGAGTCAAGAAAGTGAACAAAGCTTTCTCCTCCTGAAGGAAAATTTTCGGAAAACACTAGAGCATTCACCGCAAGATAATAATTTGGCTCTGCACAGCAGTTGATCAACCCTTTGTCACTTACGGACTTAAGCACTAGTATGGTGACCAGCACTACCTAGGACCTACAAAAAACCAGAAACTCACAAGAATACAAAGATTAGCATGCGCAGGTGCTACAGGAGGATTGGGATCATGCTCCACAGCAGCTCCAAATGCCATTCCAAACATAATACCAATGGAGCATTTCATCATGAACATAGCAGCCCCAAGCGCGGTACGACTGAAGGCAAGTCATAGCTGGAAGAACAACACCGGGAACTGTAGAATCCTGAACGAGATAAACAGTGGACACAGACTACCCTACAAGAAAAGAATGGAAGAAAGGGAATATATCCGAGCCAAATGAGGTATAACTTTACACCGATCTTCGCCGAAAACTAAAGAGCAGAAGAATCCTTATACCTCCCAATGTCAGCGTCTGCTTTCCAGGCGGAGGTTTTCGCATTACTGAAAGTAGTCGAACTCTCACTAAATTGAGACTCACGAAATACCAAGCTAAGAATATACTTAGACAGCCAAGCGGCTATCAAATCTCTCGCAAGCGCAAGGACCAAATCTACACTAGTGACCAAATGCAAAGAGACACTCAATAGACTTGCAGAACACACCAGGGTACAAATAGCTTGGGAAAGGAAGCTAACTTCGGCACGCCGAAGTTTGTATACCCTTGCAGATTGGTTTTCATATTTATATTATAAATAATAATGCCGAAAACAGACACTTAACGGAGTTTCATAACATTTTACCTATACTTATTATGTTTACAGTTTGACAGTTACAGTTATACAATCCCAGCTTTAAATTTTCTCTACATCTACGGATCGCTTCTATGGCAGCTATATGATATAGTTTTCCGATTTTCATTATATTGTTACCAAAATTCTGAAATAATACGAAAAGCTCAAAGTAGATGAAAATACGTTGAAAAACAAGGAAGTTATAATTTTTTTTCGATTTTTTCCGACATATATAGCAGTGAGAGTATATACAAAAATGTATGCAAAGTTTCATTCAGATAGCTTTAAAACTGAGGGACTAGTTTACGTAGAAACGGACAGACGGACGGACAGACAGACATGGCTAGATCGACTCTGCTGTAGATGCTGATCAAGAATATATATGTATACTTTATAGGGTCGGAAACGTCTCCTTCAGTGCGTTGCAAACTTCTGACTGAAATTATAATACCCTGCAAAGGTATAAAAACAAGAAAGCTGAGAAGCTGGGCAGGAAAGTTTCACTGAACTCAGTCCAGTCAAAAATTCAAGACCATTTCAAACGAATAGCCAGCAGAGCTTATCTTCGACATCAGCCTTCACCGGCCGCCTAGTTGATGCACACCAATTGCGGTTTGTTTGCGCCTAGGAGACTCATTTAATAGCTTAAAGCTATGAAATTGAGTGTCCAGCACCAACAGCTACCTACAGTTATACGAAAACTCAATATCAGCTCTTTAAGACCGCTCTTGGTTTGTCTCACGGCAATAACGTACTGTCCACAATGTTGTCGCACAGCCAACAGCTGATGGTGAGTACCCCATAAAAAATATTCTTATTCTTCGACTTACCGTACCTTTTTCGTTTAAGAGAGATTAGGTATTGCAGCGGCACTGGGAGAGCATTAAAACAGGAGTGGGTGGGATTAAGCACTAACTTGAACCGTTTATAAAAACGGAGAAGGCACAAAAGTAAATGCACAAAAAAATTCAAAATATTATTTAAATTTAATTAAAAAGACAAACAGAAAAGCTACGTCACTTTGGAGCTCAACAGATCGTATCACTAGAAGAAGTGGGAACGCAGTCAGTAACTGCCATCATAGCCTATCCAAATGACACGGGCTGGTACTGAGATGACTCGGTGACTACCACCAAAAACGACGGTGTGGATCAAAACGGAGCTCAGCTCAAATTGGAAGTTACCAAGAGGCACCTCACCACTAAAACCTACCTACCTTGAGAAAATGTTTTATCTAATTTTAACTAGTTTTATTTTAATTTCATTTATTTTTTGTTGATTACGATTTTTAACCTAGATATATCATCAATGCCAAAAATATGTTAATTAAAGGGACCTTATATTGATATTTTTATATGGTAATTTAAAGATAACTTCGAAACTCCAACATTTTTATACTCTTGCAGTTTGCAATGAAGCATATATCCTACGTAGAAATATATATGTTTTATGTTTTTAGTTTTTCTTTTGCTTAAATATCATCACAAG